AGTTATGAATTTAGTGCCATTGTATTGCCTGTAAGGTGACTGTTACTGTATATTGTCTCTGTTCCTTTCTGATTTACTACTTTTAGGCTCTCTCTTTGCTTAGAGGACCCCTTTCAATATTTCCTGTAGAGCTGGTTTGGTGTTTGCAAATTCTTTCAGTTTTTGTTTGTCCTGAAGGCTTTTTATTTCTCCTTCTATTTTCAATGATAGCCTAGCTAGATATAGTATTCTTGGCTGCATGTTTTTCTCGTTTAGTGCTCTGAATATATCATGCCAGTTCTTTCTGGCCTGCCAGATCTCTGTGGATAAATCTGCTGCCAATCTAATATTTTTATCATTGTATGTTACAGACTTATTTTCCTGGGCTGCTTTCAGGATTTTCTTTGTTGCTAAGACTTGTAAATTTTACTATTAGGTGATGGGGTGTGGACCTATTCTTGTTGATTTTGAAGGGAGTTCTCTGCACCTCCTGGATTTTGATGCTCGTTCCCTTTGCCATATTAGGGAAATTCTCTACAATAATTCTCTCCAATATACCTTCTGCTCTCCTCTCTCTTCTTCTTCTGGAATCCTAATTATTCGAATTTTGTTTCGTCTTATGGTGTCACTTATCTCTCAAATTCTCCCCTCGTGGTCCAGTAGCTGTTTGTCTCTCTTTTGCTCAGATTCTTTATTGTCTGTCATTTGGTCTTCTATATCACTAATTCTTTCTTCTGCCTCATTTATCCTAGCAGTAAGAGCCTCCATTTTTTATTGCACCTCATTAATAGCTTTTTTTAATTTCAACTTGGTTAGATTTTAGTTCTTTTATTTCTCCAGAAAGGGCTTTTATATCTCCAGAGAGGGTTTCTCTAATATCTTCCATACCTTTTTCGAGTCTGGCTAGAACCTTGAGAATCATCATTCTGAACTCTAGATCTGACATATTACCAATGTCCATATTGATGAGGTCCCTAGCCTTTGGTACTGCCTCTTGTTCTTTTTTTTGTGGTGAGTTTTTCCACCTTGTCATTTTGTCCAGATAAGAATATATGAAGGAGCAAATAAAATACTAAAAGGGTGGCAAAGACCCCAGGAAAATGTGCTTTAACCAAATCAGAAGAGACCCCAAATCGGGGGGGGGGGGGAGAAAGGGTATAAAAAGAAGTTTAGAAAAAAAAATTAAAAAAAGAAAACAAATAAAGAAAAAATATGAAAAAGAAAATATATATATATATATATATATATTAGACTGGTGACTTGAACAGGTCACCCACTTAATTTTGGGAGTATTTTGGTCTCTTAGAAGAAACTACCTCCCAAAATTTTAAAGAATGAAAAACATATATAAGGGTAAACACAATGAAGGGATGGAATATGCCAATAAAGATGGAAAAAGAAAATTTTTTAAAATTTCTAAAAAAGGAGTTGATAAAGTAAGTTGGTTGGGAGAATAAAGAAAAAGAAAGTGGAGAATTTGCTTGGGCTGGAGACTAGAACAAGCCCAGAGCTAGATTTAGGGTATATTTTGATCTATTAGAAGAAGTTGTACCCCAAATTTTTTAGAAGAAAAAACCTATGTGTATACAAAAAATAAAGTTACATACAATGAAAGATAAAATATCACTATAATGAAGGTTCAAAAAAGATTATTGTTATTTTTTTATGAAAATGATTTTTAAGATAAACTAGTTAAAAAACGTTAAAAAAGGAAGGGTTAAAAGTTAAAAAAAATTTAGCAGAAGAAAAAAAAATTTTTTTTAAATTTAAATTAACTGCAAGACTAAAGAATCATGGGGAGAAAGCCATGAGTTCCATGCTTTGCTTTCTCCTCCTCTGGAATTCCGCTGTTCTCCTGGGTAAGTGAACTTGGTCTTCGCTGGATTTCTTGTTGATCTTCTGGGGGAGGGGCCTGTTGTAGTGATTCGCAATTGTTTTTGCCCCAGGCAGAATTGCACCGCCCTTACCAGGGGTCTGGCTAAGTAATCCGCTCGGGTTCGCTTTCGGGAGCTTTTGTTCCCTAAATGCTTTCCATACAGTTCTGGAGGACAGGAATGAAAATGGCGGCCTCCCAATCTCTGTCCCGGAGGAGCCGAGAGCTCGGGGCCCAGCTCCTCAGTGCACCCTCAGAGAAAAGCACTCAATCACTCCTGTCTCCCTGGCCTCTGGCTGCGCTTGGAGAAAAGTGCTCAATCACGCTTGTCTCCCTGGCCTCCAGTTGTGCTCCAAGCTCACCCAGCCTGTGACCGGTTCAAGGTAACCCTAAGCTGAGAACTCACTCCTCGGCTCTGTCTCTGTAGCTGGATTCCCCGCTCTAATACCTGCGAGCTCTGTGACACTCAGATACCCCCTATCCTTCTGTGACCCTGTGGGACCTGGGGCTACGCTGACCCTGCATGGGCTTCACCCCAGTTTAGCCTCTGGAGCAATGTCCCTCAGTGGAGCAGACTTTTACAAGTCCTGATTTAGTGCTCCATTGTTCCGCTGCTTGCCGGGAGCTGGTCCCTCCCCCCGCGTTCTATTTTCATCGCTTTGGATTCACTTCTCCGCCGGTCCTACCTTTCAGAAAGTGGTCAGTTTTCTGTTTCTAGAATTGCTGTTCTTCTTCTCTTTGATCTCCTATTGGATTTGTAGGTGTTTGCAATGGTTTGATAAGCTATCTAGCTGATCTCCTGCTACCTGATGTTGTCTCAGCCTGCTACTTCTCCCAAAACAATCAATTTAAAATCTCAGCCTTCCCTGCTCAGCAGGGAGGCTGCTTAAGATTCTCTCACTCTCCCTCTGCCCCTTCCTCTCCTACTGTGTGAGCACATGCGTTCACATACGTTCTCTCTCTCTCTCTCTCTCAAATAAATAAACCTAAAATCTCAGCCCTTTCCTCTGTGGTTACAGCAACTTAGGAGAAGTCTACAGCATTTACTATTTTAGCTGGCTCAGATACTGATATTGATAACATACTTTTTTTACTTGAAAATCAATGCTTAAATACTTGATTAATTGTACACTTTTGAATCATCAGTGATGTGTCCCAGAAGTCACAAGAAGTCTAAAGGTGGCTTCTAGGTCTTATACAATGTCCAACACTGTGCTAATTACTGACAAACATTGAGTTTTCCCTTCAATGTTACAGTCTTTATAAAAATAAATATAATAGGGTCAACGTAGTCTGTTGTTCAGAACAATGTGAATGTTCTTATTGTTTCCTGATATGGAGTTTTGTTTTTGTTGTTTAACTTAGTTGTTCCTTGTGGTTCTTACTGGTGCTTTAGGAAAATTTCTCCACTATCCTATAGGACTTTCTGTCTCTTTAGAACATGCAGCTTTTATTTTCAAATGTATTAATTCCTCTCTGGCCCAACACCACTAGAGGTTGAACCGCAGTACACTAAATTCTCAGGATCCCACATACCCATCCATTTCTCCCCCTCCTACCTCCCTTTCTCCTTTCTTTCTCAGTCTATAGTTTCTCCTTCCTTCTCTCTCCCATTTTACTTTCCAATCTCCTATTAGTTTCTAAGCAAATATCGTGTCTTTATTTTTCTTTTAAGGAAAATTCTTGACCAATCAGAGAAGGACACTTCCTTGTCTGACCCAAATAAATTCATAAGTTTTATTTGAGGGATTCAATATTAGCTAGGGAGTTTCAACAATTCCTCTTTCTTTTCCACTCAAGATGACATCAATAATAACAAGGCAATTTCCCAGTGGACTGCATGGTCACGAGAGTCCATCCCTGCTCTAAATTTCTGGAATCCTTCTAACTACTTCAGAATCTCAATTCTGAATTACTCCCCTATTCCAATATCATACCAATTTTTCTAAATATACTTTTGGTTTTATTACCATACATCTCAAAAACTTAAGTGATTTTCTTATCTAACAAATGCAGTCTACTTATCTAGGCATTCAGAACCTCACATTATGGGTAACATGCCTACATTTCAACATTCAGTCCTCACTGCTCTCCTACTAGGCAACTGTTGGGACAGAATTGGATTCAAGTGACAGCTCAGTGCTATCCTTCCCATGTCAGTGTTTTCTCCATTTAGAGGGTCTTTCTTAACAATAACCCAGATAAGGAAAAGGAAACGCTATATGAAGTGTGAACCACAAACACAGAGTTCTTGTTTCAGTCTCCTTTCTAATTCTACTTATGGATGCATGCGTTTTCTTTCCTCTTAAGGGTCAACTAAAACTACACAGGTTGGTAGAGTTTACATTAATCTTTCACCTGACCTATTTGAACCTCTACAGGTGCAAGTTGAACAGGGAACCCAAAGCATTTCTTTAGAAAGTTCTTAATCTGAATTAACATTAGATTGTCACCAAAATGGAAAAAACTCTTCTCCCTGCTGGGCCCTAAATTTCTTACAAGTTTCACCACTGTAGCTCCTGGGCAACCTGTACTCTCCACTGTCTCTGTATGTTGTGGACTCCTCCCTTGCAGGTTTCCGACTGAACTCCACAGTGAGATCTGAAACCAAGGGCATCTGGATGTGGTGTGTGCCCCACTCCACCAAGAAGAACCACACCCTGATCCTTCTGGACACTGAGGGGCTGGGGGATGTGAAAAAGGTAAGGCAGGGAGTTGAGAACCCTTCTTTGCTCTTGCTTATGAATTCACCACCTCAATTCAACTTCTGTGACATATCTCCACAAATAGTGTAAATTATAGATAATGAGGTTAGATTCTCTTACCTTGAAATTTTTTCCTTGAGAGCACACATATTTTGATATTTGGAGGCAAGATATTTATCTTATTTTTAATGCCGGGGTTAATGACACAATTTAAGCAGCTAAATCCAGGGCTCTCTGCTAAGTACTAGAGACACTGCAGTGAAGAAAAGTAAAGACCCAGAGGCCAGCTGGGGAGATATCAAGTACTTAGTTCAATCAGTACAGAGTGTCATGGATGCAACCTCGTTTTAAGTAAGGATTAGATTTAAGCTTTCCTGGTGAAATAACATTTAAAATATCTAAATTGTAACTCATCAGGTCAATGGGACTATCAGTAAAAATCTATAGATTCGTGACCTTGAATATAGTCGTCTTGAAAATAGGGTTAAAACAAAGTAATTTATTTAAATAAACCCCAGAAAATCTTCAGCTGTACCAAGAACATTCATAATGATTTTAGTCTAACTTGCTGGACTTTAAAGATTAATTCTTCACCGACTTCTAAAAAGCATGATCTTGACCAGCAGAAAACAGTGCAAACAGGATACTTGTAGGTGTGTTGTCTTTACAATCAGTACTTTTTCCTTATTTTATAGAAGTCTGAGTCTAGATTGTTGCTGCTGTAGATTATTTGATTCCAATACTGCTCCCTCCACCCCAGAATAAGTAAAGGAGAAATTTAGAAATTCTGAATTTAAAAAATTTTTAATGTTTTAAAACTTCAGAAATTGTAAAGTGCTCGATAAAAAATAAAGTATAAAACAAAAACAGAAGAAAAACTAAACAATACGTATCAGACCTCATCAATTCATCTCACCGTGTTTGAATTTTAACAAGTTTATTCCTTCTTTGAATGTACCAGCAACTTTTCACACTAAACAACAGTAACAACAACAAGAAATCCTACTTACTTGTTACTTATTTTACACGGCCCCTAAGTTAATTCCCGATGAATTAGATCTACTCTAATTATCACCTCCCTCTGTCCTCCAAAAATGAAGAGGGACTTTTAATGGTGCAAAATGTCCTATTTTGACCCAAACATTTCTTTTTATGTAATTGTTTTTGTTTAAAGGACCAAATCATATTATATTATTAATAACTGATGGCAGCAGAACAGTTTAATAAATTTAGAACATGTGGTATGATTTAGGTAGTGTGTAATTCTGCTTTCCTGGCCTTCAGTGCCACTCACATACTGTCCTGAGTCTCCTTTCCAGCCTTGTTGTCTACTCCCACACATTTACACATTGCTTCAGCCAAAGGGAATAATTCTATCTTTGTATGACTGTACTTTTCAATTCTGAATTGGCTTGTGTTAGTCTTTCTACCTGCATGATCTTTTCATTTCCACAAGTCCAAGTCCACAACTTCATCATTTCTTTAAAACCCAGCTATTTTAATTTTTTAAAATATTTTATTTGTTTATTTGAGAGAAAAAGAGAGCATGAGCTGGGGGAGGGCTGGAGGGAAATGGAGAAACACACTCGCTGCTAAGTATGAAGCCCAACACAGGGCTTGATCCCAGGACCCTGAGATCACGACCTGAGCTGAAAGCAAATGCTTAACCAACTAAGCCACCCAGGTGCCCCAACCCAGCTTTTTTTTTTTTTTTTTTTTTTTTTTTTTAACTTACTGCCATCATTTCACAGTCAGAAGTAAAGTCTTGCTCAGAATTCCCAGGACACTTTTTTCCCCCCATTTTTGGGTTTGCCCCCTTTTTCTCTTATATTTTAGCTTTGGCTCTGTTCCCGGCAGAGATCATTAACTTGGTTGCAGGTGTTATGTTTACTTATTGGTCAGCCAACCCAGAAAGTCAACTTCTTGAGGGCGGGGACTAGCATATGGAACTTTGCATCCACCTAAACAAATGCACCGCCTGGCATTTAGAAGAAACTCAAACAACAGCTGTTGAATTTAACTGAACAACATTATGCTTTTAATGTTGACCATGACACATCAAATTTGCTGTAGGAATAATTTCCTGTTTATTGGTGCATTCCTACTATGTTCCAGTCACTGTGTTATGGAATGGAAATGCTAACAAGTAAATGAAGAGTGGACTCTCTAGTCTTTTGCTTTAATGTGCTTTCTAGGTTGACCCTAAGAATGACTCATGGATCTTTGCCCTGACGGTGCTTCTGAGCAGCACCTTGATCTACAACAGCATGGGCACCATCAACCACCAGGCCCTGGAGCAGCTGCAGTATCCTTCCAGGGACCAAACCACCAAGTTTCATTGAGTTTACAGGAATGGCAACTGAGACGGTCATCTTTCTTGTGACTTAACTGTCATGGTTGAGGAGAAGGGAACGTGAGACATAAGTTAATGTTTATAAAATTTGTTTTTAAATACAAGCTGAAAATTGTGGTGTAAATAATTTCTCCTTCCTTAGCTAAATTCTCAGCTATGTCACTGAACTAACACAGCTAATCAGGGCAAAATCCTCCTCAACCTCTGAGGAAGTGAAGGACTCCACTGAGTTTGTGAGTTTCTTTCCAGACTTTGTATGGACTGTTCGGGATTTCACCCTGGAATTGAAGATAGGTGAAGGTCCAATCACTGAAGACGAGTACCTGGAGGATGCCTTGAAGCTGGTTCCAGAGCATGGTCTGGGCGGTGGAAGTTTCAACAGGGGGTTGGGATCAACTTGATAAGCCCTATCAGTCAGCACTTGAATTCAATTTTTGTTTAACATCGGATTGAGATGCAGTCTTAATAGTGAGGGGTGATTGTTGAATGGCGTTTGGTGATTGTTTTTCATAGATTATTACTTGTGAAACTCCAGCTGCTGGAGCAATCTCATTGAGGAAATTTAAGGACCAATGTTGAACTGAACGATTTTAGACCAAATAGGTATTGTGAAACATTTTTCTAGGTTATAGTGCTGTAACTTCCTAAGCCCCACATACTTGGGCTCCTTATTGTGTGCTCCTCCTGTTCCATACTGACAGAAATAGCTCATCAGATGAGAAGCTGGTAAACCTAGAATCACAAGAAATAAAAGGACCTAAATTTTGTTATGGAAAAATAGACAAAACATAAAATTTACCATTTTAACCATTTTTTTTAGGTTTATAGCTCTGTGGCAGTAAGTACATTCACATTGCTGTGGAATCATCACCACCCACCCACGCCAGAAGTTTTCATCTTCCCCATCTGAAATTCTCTACCCATTAAAAACTAACTCCCTGGGATGCTTTGGTGGTTCATTCATTATGCATCTGTTTTCAGCTCAAGTCATGATCCCAGGGTCCTGGGATCAAGTCCCACATTGAGCTCCCTGCTCAACGGGGAGTCTGCTCCTCCCTCTGCCTCTTCCCTCGGCTCATGCTCTCTCTCTCTCTCAAATAAATAAATAAAATCTTACAGAAAAAAAAACTAACTCCTTAATACCCCCCACCCACAGCACTTGGCAACTGCCATTCCATTCTCTGTCTCCATATAGGTACCTCATACAAATGGAGTCATATGCTACTTGTCTTTTTGTGACTGGCTTATTTCACTAACCATAATGTCCTAAAGATTCATTCATGCTGTAGCATGTGTAGAATATCTTCCTTTCTAAGACTGAATAGTATTTTTTTTACATTTATATACCACATTTAAATGACCTAATTTTAAAAATATATTTCATGTTTCTATGAAATATTCTATGAATATTTTACTAGTGCCCAGATACTTACAAATTTCAGAGAAAGCATATTTACATAGTAAATATCCAGGAGGAAAAATGTCCTTCTGGTAACACTTTCAGATTCACATTGATCTTCCTTATGATTTCACGTTCTTCTTTCTCACAGTCTTGTACATTATGTTACCACTTTAATATTATTAATTTACTACATGTAAATTTTACAAACAGTTTATTTTTATTTTATTTTAATAAGGTGAATAACTGATGGCACTTGGAAGTAATACATACTTCTGTTTCATCATTCATGTATTCATTGTTTCAAAGAAATTTATTAAACATCTGACATACTCCCCAAATCATTCTGTGAAGCACTGTCAAGTCAGATATAGTTTGATATAGACAGTGTTAAGGTTTCCAATTACTTTTAAGTTAACCTTACCTTTGAGATGTTTCTGCTAAAAGAACTCCAAACATATTTATTTAGTGTGATTTTTTTTATCTGAATTTTAGATATTTTTTTCTTACCTTGATATTATTCGTCCTCCACCTGATATTTTAACAAGCAATATCTTACTCTTCTTTTGGTATTATTTTAGGGTCCATATTTCATATCTAATATGGGGACAGTCAGATCACAAAAGGAATTCTTACCATTTTTTTTGGTTCCTCACTCATTTGATAAACATTTAATGAATATGTCAACCACTAAACTCCATAACAGTACTAAGGAAACCAACCATAACTTGCTTCAGTTGGGACTGATGCCTCTCCTTCTCCCCTATTTTCTTGGCTCTGCTCCATGTAGAAATGGAATTTCCTTGCCTGTGGTGATGGCCCAGATTGATTTGAAATGATTGGGTTAAAGGAGATTTATAAGCATAGGAAATGTCATAATGCAAAGATGCCTGGAAATGAAAGTTCTGACTCCCTTACCTAAAGACCACATTTCAATGATCAGTTTTTTTCCACTTTTGCAGGCACAAATCCCAAAATCCAGAATTCCAACATGCCCAGAGAGTGTATCAGGCAGTTCTTTCCAAAACGGAAGTGCTTCGTCTTTGACCGGCCTACAAGTGACAGAAATCTCTTATTCCATCTTGAGAAGGTGCCAGAAGACAAGCTAGACAGTGCTTTCCAGGAGCAATCAAAGAAATTCTGTACCTATATTTTCAGTCACACAAAGACCAAGACCCTAAGAGAGGGAATCACTGTCACTGGGAGCCGTGAGTCACCTTTGTCCCAAAGCATGTCTCTGTGTCAGTATGTGGTGGAGCTTTGATGAGAGCCTGGATTTGTCAGTAATTTTGTTTACATCTGTGTGCAACTATGGAGAAGCAGATTTTCATGGCCTGAAAAGAAATCCATGTGTGTTTACTCATTAAAGTCTCCCTGTGTGAGGGTCTGCTGAGACCTGATATACCTCAGGAACATAAGCCACCAATCCTAAGAAGACAAGATGGTGTTAAAGAGAGGACATCTGTATATTGAGAAATCCTATGGGATAACTTCTTGTCTTGAAGGAGATAGCAGGTTATTTTGTAAATTTACATGAGTCAGGTCATAAATAGCAAGCTATGAGTTCCTGCAAGACCACTGAGAAACAGAATTATGTGTCCTCTTGTGTGTAGGGCAGGCTCCGTGGGCATGTAACTTACGCAGTCCTATAGTATCCTGTGTGGAGATGGGCCCATACTTGCTTTAAGATTTTCTATCCCTGTTTTGAATTCTCGATCATGTTCAACTAGGAGTTCACATTTTTGTTTTGTACCGGGGCACACACATTATGCAGATGGTCTTATTTTTGTCTATTACTTCACCTATGTAATCTATTCCTTTACATTCTCATGAATGGGAAACCATTTTTCCAGTACACAGGTGCATATTGTATAGTTGGTAATTTAAATTGTGCTGTGACAAAATGGAGAACAATAAAAGAAAGAACAGGAAAACAATAATGCTATTAAAAGGAATAGATTCCCAAAAGGAGAAAATAAAACTTCCTTGTAAATAAGGTGGGGTTTTTTTGTGATCTTAGAATGATGCTTCATAAAAACTATAAGCTACTGATTGAGACCTTGGTATTTATGCTCAAATTCCCTGGCTTATATAGGGCTGGGGACTCTGTTGAAAGCCTATGTGGATGCCATCAAGAAAGGAGCAGTTCCTTGCTTGGAGAATGTGGTGACAACTCTGGCTCAGCGTGAGAACTCAGTGGCCGTGCAGAAGGCAGCTGACCACTACAGCAAGCAGATGGCCCAGCGACTGAGGCTCCCCACAGACACACTCCAGGAGCTCCTGGATGTACATGCAGACTGTGAGAGGGAAGCCATCGCAGTGTTCATGGAGCACTCCTTTAAGGATGACAAGCGGGAATTCCAGAAAAAGCTGGTGGTAATGTGTCTTAGCATTTATCCTTCCTGATTTCTACCCTTCCAGATTCATGCTTAGAGTACATTTTTTTCCTACTCTGTGGCTCATCTAGCTCTCATGGTCAACAGAGCCTGGGTTCTTGTGAGTGACAGGGCTCTACCAGGTTACTGTTCACCTTTTTACTAAAAGATAGACATTTTATTAAATTTCTATTGCCACATTTGAAAAATTACCCTTAATTTATATAGGCTCACAATTCTGTAGGTCAAAAGGAGGCATAGGATGGCACCATACTCTGCTCAGAGACTGCTCACAGTCCGCTCACAGAATGGAAACAAGATTTTGGCCAAAACGAGCTCTCAGCGGCAGGCTCTGGAGTGGCTCCAAGTTCATTCCTGTTGTTGACTGGATCAACTTCCTTTTTTTTTTTAAATTTTTTATTTTTTCAGCCTAACAGTATTCATTATTTTTGCACCACACCCAGTGCTCCATGTAATCTGTGCCCTCTCCAATACCCACCACCTGGATCCCCCAACCTCCCACCCCCCGCCCCTTCAAAACCCTCAAATTATTTTTCATAGTCCATAGTCTCTCATGGTTCACCTCCCCTTCCAGTTTCCCTCAACTCCCTTCTCCTCTCCATCTCCCCTTGTCCTCCATGCTATTTGTTATTCTCCACAAATAAGTGAAACCATATGTTAATTGACTTTCTCTGCTTGACTTATTTCACTCAGCATAATCTTTTCCAGTCCTGTCCATGTTGCTACAAAAATTGGGTATTCATCCTTTCTGATGGAGGCATAATACTCCATAGTGTATATGGACCACATCTTCCTTATCCATTCATCCGTTGAACGACTTCCTTTTGATTGTAGGACTCATGTTCCCTTTTTTGTTGGCTTTCTGACAGGGGGGCTTCCAAGCTCCCAGAAGCATTTTTCATAAACCTCCATGTTCTCCTTTCTGCTTCAAGCCAACAATGACGCATCAAATACTTTTCATGTTTTAGCTTTTTTGATTTCCTGAAGATAACTCTCAGAGCTCATGTTCTTATCTAAGACTTCTCCACCTCTATCCTCTAGTTATCTCCATTTCTTATTTTTTTAAAAGATTTTATTTATTTATTTGACAGAGAAAGACAGAGTGAGAGAGGGAACACACGCAGGAGGAGTGGGAAAGTGAGAAGCAGGCTTCCTGACAAGCAGGGAGTCCATTTGAGGGCTCAATCCCAAGACCCTGGGATCATGAACTGAGCCGAAGGCAGACCCTTAATGACTGAGCCACCCAGGCACCCCTAGTTATCTCCATTTCTTTTTTTTTTTTTTTATTTGACAGAGAGAGATCACAAGTAGACAGAGAGGCAGGCAGAGAGAGAGAGAGAGGGAAGCAGGCTCCCCGCTGAGCAGAGAGCCCGATGCGGGACTCGATCCCAGGACCCGAGATCATGACCTGAGCCGAAGGCAGCGGCTCAACACACTGAGCCACCCAGGTGCCCCTTATCTCCATTTCTTAAAGTCAACTTGTACCATATAATAAACCCTAACTACTGTAATAAAATTTATCAAGTTCACTGAATCCAGGACTGTGGAAGGAGTATACATCAGAGGAAAAAAATCTTAGGGGACAATTTAATTCTTGGGGACAACTAATTAGCATGGGTACCTTCAGTGGAAATTTGTCTCAGTCTATGACCAGCCTAGGAGTGAAAAAACCTCTTTGTTCCTATTGAAGACGTGCCAGAAAGTCTGCTGTATTATAATTTTCAAGAGCAGAGGAAATGTTTATTTCTTTTTCTTTACACACTCAAATTCTTATTAGAAGAATTTATGAAGAGTTCCAAACTCTGTTCAGAGTACACTTTAGTCTTTACCAGATGATTGAGTTGTTGGGAGGGCAGGGGTGTTGAATGTGCATTGTCATCCATAGCAACACAAATTCTCTGAGGAAACTCTACTTTCAGCCATAATTCAACTTTCTATCGCTGATTGTTAATGGTTGGGTCACTTTTAATCATACTACAGCAGAAAGAACCATGGAGTTCATGTCTTCCAACCCAAGGAAGTAAAGGGACTTTACACAGGTCACACCTAGAATTGGTCGGAACTAGGACTAAAAGTCTCTTGACTCCTGGTCTGCTCCATGTTCCAATCTACTCTTAGGTGATTGGGATGCTTTTTCTAAGAGAATGACATTGGACTTTCCCTTCTAAGAGCTTCTTTCTATTGGATTTCTCTACATTTCCCTGGCAGGACACCATTGAGAAAAAGAAGGAAGATTTCTTGCAGCAGAATGAAGATGCATCTTTCAAATATTGCCAGGCTATAATGAAGCAGCTTTCAGAGCCTCTGAAGAAAAGCATTTCAGAAAAAACTTTCTCTGTTCATGGAGGACATGATCTCTACTTACAAGCAAAGAGAAAGGTTGAACTTGACTATAAACTGGTGCCTAGGAAAGGAGTTAAGGTAAGGAATAAAGGGGAAAAGGTTGAACAGTAGAGTGGAATTCGGTGGTCTTTATTTTTCCTCCTGAACATCTAAGACTCCAGCACCAATTACGGGAAAAAATCAAAAAGCAAGGCAGTAAGTCCGAATTTTCAGATTTTACATCTACAATTAATTAGGTACTCCTGTAGATACCAGAAATTAAATTCCTCCCAAAGAAAGTATTTACAATCATGATTTCAGGTGACACAAAATACTTGATTCATTTATGAAACATGTGTTAATATTTGGCTAAGTCCCTTGGGAATGCAAGTATTAGAGACACAACTTGCTCTCAAGATGCTGAGGATTTTACCAGAGATACAGGCAAATAGTGAAGAGGATAGGGTATGATAAAGGTTATACTGGTATTCAAAGATACTAATGATGATGGTGATGATGATAAAAATGGTTAACATATTGAGACTAACTTTCTTTACTGCACATGGTCTTAGGTGTTTTTGTTGGATTATTAATTTAATCCTCAGGGTAATATTATAAATTAAGTATACTACTATCTACATTATGCATTTGATAAATGTGTTGCAAAAAGAAGTTAATAAATCGCCTAAGGTCATATGAACAGTAAGTGGTGGAGCCAGTAGGGCAAATCAGTATCTTGGTGGCCATTCAAAGCTCAGATTGCAGTTTAGGAAATTATAACAAAGGTAGTTCCTAGAAGTTTAAGATGAAGTATTTATAGATGTTTTGTTGAGAAAGGCTAGAATAGCTTCCAGGAAGAAGAAAAGAATATCCCAAAACAAGTAAGCAATAGGTATAATGTATTTGTAGAATTATGAATGTGAATGGCTATAACCCATGGTGGGGTTGGGGACAGTATCAGTGAGAAAGCGATCTCAAGAACTAGGAAGACTATGATGGAGTTTTCCCATTATCATCAATAGACTTGGAATGTATACTGTGGACATAGAAGGAAGGGAATTACTCAGGGATACACAATTTACTGGGTTATATTTGGAGTTTTATTGAACAATTATTTCCATAGCGAGAGATTAGATCTTTGTTGCCTGATGTGTATTTGCTCCTTGTTGGTTCCTCAGGCAAATGAGATCCTCCAGAACTTCCTACAGTCACAGGCAACAATAGAGGAATCCATCGTGCAGTTAGACACAGCCCTTAATAGAGGAGCCATGGCCATAGCAGGTACAGGGGAGGGTTTGGCTTGTGGTGGAATGGGTAGGTTCCTGCAGGGACTGCTGACAGATCTGACCAGAAGACCTTCTTGCAACAAAGAGTTTCCTCTTCTGCCACAGAACACATGTTCTGTTCAATCAAATCTGAAAATAACAAGACAAGTGGTAGTTGCACATCAGCAGCCAGACAGAGCCTATATCTTCACACTGAGAAACCTGCCAGCAGTGTGGCCATTTGGTGAAATTACAAATTTCCCAGTCACCATTGCAAGGTCAGTTTAGTCTCTGAGCTTAGGAGGTCAGGTCTCACCTGTTCTTTTGTTCCCTTTAAAAACTTTCATGGGTCAGTGGAGCGGGCCAAAAAGGAGGCAGCTGAGAAAGAACAGGAGCAGCTAAAACAGAAAGAACATGAGCAACGGCAAAAAATGGAGGCTCAAGAGAGAAGCTTCAGTGAAAACCTGGGCCAGCTGGAAGAGAAGATAAAGAAGGAAAGAGAAAACTTTCGGGTAATGCTGGAAAGGATGTTGAAGCATTATCTGCAGGTAAGTATGGCCTGGATTCAGCCAGATTCTCATTCCTCAGGAAGAGAAGGATAAAATTTTAAGCAAAATTATGATCCAAGAGAGAAATGCAAATGGCATATGATTTACTAAGTGCCTGAATCCATCTGTATCCTGCTGTAACCCTAAAAAGCATATTATTCCTGCCTTTTCTGCAGCGCTAGACTTTGGAGTATACAAATAACATCCCTTGGGGAAGTGGGTTGCTATTTGTGGTGTTCATGCAATGGTCCCATGAACCCCAGTTGGGTTGAGTCTTTGTCTTCTAGTCCTATAGAGAACCATTAGAGAGACCTGAAATAAATCTATTTTGTCTTGAAAGTATCTGATTAGGTCTGATATGAAATGCAAGACACTAAAATTTCTAAAACTTGCTGCATTTGTTTCCAGACAAATGCAAGACACCAAAAGTTCCAAAACTTGCTCCATCTGTCTGAATATCCTGGGATTACTATAAAATATAGAGGAACATCTTTCCTTGGTCCAACCTGGAGCTTGATAAGCAATGCTCTATACAGAATCAGCAGTTACCACTTTTTATTAGATGGTTGTGGCCATGCATCCTCAAGTGGAACTGAGAATGAATTAGAATTAAAACTGTACTCCTACCCAAAGAGCATCATTTGGGCTAAAGTGCATAGTGGAGAAAGTTCTCAAGTCTGATCTAGCCCCAACACCTACCCATCCCAGAGAGAGGGTTGTGAAGACATCTTAGGAAGTTACAAACCATGGATACTCTCATTATCCAGATCAAAAAGTATGGACACATAGGACATCCCCCAAAGAACAATCTAAAGTGGTAGAAAAATAGACACCTATGTTTACTGTTGACTGTGTCTTGATAATTAGAGATCTTAAAAGGTGGGCTCTTTTCCTTTTATAGGTCCAAGAAGAATTGCTTAATGAAAGATTTGGAAAGAAATCTGAGGAATTGAATAAGGAGATAAATCGACTAAAAAAAGAGATTGAGACAGCAAAAAAAAATGATTCACTATTGATTTCAAATGCAATTGAAGTGGCTGGGAAAGTATTAATTGTTGCACTACCTGAAATTTTTAAGCTATTCCATGAAGGGAAGACAGTTCTCAGTGAAAAAAATTAAATGGGCTTAGATTTCTTGTTAAGGATATTATAAAATGAGGCTTCTTTTGCATTAATAATGTAATACTGTGCTCATTTTTGAAATACATGTGTTATGCCACTTTCACACAACTTCATTTACTTTCACACAATTTTATTTATGCTTAAAAATAAAAAGTGATCACATGGGGTGCCTGGTGGCTCAATTGTTTAAGCATCCAACTCTTTATGTCAGCTCAGATCATGATCTCACAGTCGTGAAATGGAGCCCTGTGTTGGGCTCTGCACTTAGCAGGGAGTCTGCTAGACATTCTCTCTCTCCCTCTGTCCCTCCCCCTGCTTGTGTGCTCTCCCTCTTTCTCTGTCAAATACATAAATAAATCATAAAAAAATGGTTATAGAAAACATCAGCTCGCGGCATACAAAAGACAAACAATTTTTGATTGAATAAACTAATTTTTTAAGATTTTATTTATTCATGTAAGAGAGAGAGAGCACTAGCAAGGGTGAGGGGCAGAGGGAGAGGGAAAAGCAGACACCCCCCTGCTGAGCAGGGAGCTCCATGCAGGGCTCGATCCCAGGACCCAGAGATCATGACCTGAGCCAAAGGCAGATGTTTAACTGATTGAACCACCCAGGCATCCCTAAACTTCACTTAAAGATATATTTTAAATGTTACTGAAAAACACAAAAATTTATAACAATAAATCAAGGTAAATATGCCAATCCTTATAAGACATATATGATATGTGTATATGTATATGTACATGTATATGTACATGATTTATACATGTACAAGTGTACATGTACATTTTTTGAAAGTAGACAAATTTGTTTTACAGTGTACATGAAAAAACTACAAGCAAAAATAGCCAATGCAATTCTATAAAGAGAAAAATAAGGAGAGGCAGGTATCTCTAATTATATGTTAAAACACCTCAATAATTAACATAGTGGTCCCGGCACCTGAATATTCAAACATCAATAAAATACTATTGAAAGTTTAGATTTCAACAAATATTCATAAAAGAAATTTATTATATAATAAATTTGACACTTCATGTTAGTGAAGGGAAAAGTGGTATTCCATAAATGGAATTTGGACTAGATGTAGCCATCTGGAAAACAAAAAAAAAAAAAAAAGTTGGAGTTTACCTCTCTCCATAAACCAAAACAAATTTCAGATGTACCAAAGATTTTAAAAGGAAAATTAGATTATAAAAGATTAAAAAATGGTTTCATCATAGTAAAGTCCTTTGTCAGTGTGAAAATGATGATAAAAAAGATTAACATATCCCCCTACATAAAAATAATGAGGTTATTCATAGAAAAGATAAAAACAAAGACAAACAGAAATATGGATATAAATTCACAATTTATATCCCAATGAGAATATTTCATTAAGCAATAAAGAGCTTATAAATCAATGAGGAAAGATAAACAACCCCACTGAAAATGTGCATAACCCTAAGTCAAAAATATAGTTTATCAAGTCTTCTAATAAGAACTATGTAAAGGAAAGCCATCAGCTACCCATTTCACTTCCCTGATTTGCAAGAAACAACACATTTGACAGAAGACTAGGTTGTAAGAATAGAGAGAAGCAGGAGGGGTCTGCTCAGTAGAACAGGGAACTATGAAGCACAGAGATGCACCCATCTTGTTTTCTTTAGGATTTTTCAGTAAAGCCTGAAAATTCTAGCCCCTAATTTCTTTTCAAATAAAAATTCATTTAGAAAGTCTTCTGGAATAGGCTCCAAGTTCTAGTTCAAAATGATAATATGAGTAAAAGAGAAGGAAATTTTTCTTCGAGATCAATCGTATGGAATTCTTTCTAGCTGTCTAGTGCTTTTGATTCTGCTATGGCTAGAATGAATTCCTTCTGATTTTACAAGTTTCACATGTTTTATCTTGACTCTAGGTTTTTGCACCATATATATGCTTGTTAACGTAACCTTGCTTTCTGGGGCACCAAGATGGCATCTGCCTTGGGCTCAGATCATGATCTCAGGGTCCTCGGATCGAGGCCTGCATCAGGCTCCTTGCTCAGCAGGGAGTCTGCTTCTCCTTTGCCCCTTCCCCCGCTAGTTATCTCTCTCTCTCTCACTCTCAAAAATAAATAAATAAATAAATAAATACATAAACAAGCAAACAAACAAATAAAAATCTTAAAAGAAAAATTAATCTTGGTTTCTTACTTGATGTTCTTTATACGGTAGCCTCTGTTCTTCCTTCAGATCTCCTATTTCCTGACTTCCCGAGACCAGATGATGTGACCCTTCTCTGTGCTGCCATTGTGCCTTGTCACTCCTACCATAGCACTTTTTATGTAGTTGTAAAATTAAAATGACCTATTTACAGCTGTCTCCTCCTCTGTCTCTTGCTCTTGGGTACTTGGTCTTCTTCATCTTATCTTTAGCTCCCACCACAGAGCCCACCTTATAATCACCCAGTGTTAAAAAAATGTTCATTGAATAAATACATGAGCTGCCATCCAACAGGGCCCCACTTTACCATGTCATAACTGGATTATCTGATCTCTGGGGTCTAGATATAAAAGATAGAGCAGTTTCAATCCCTGGAAAAAGGCATAACTGACTTGAACTACTGGACCTTCCATACATTATGTCTTATTCATACAAGGGTAAACGGGTCCTGTTCCATTCTCCTAATCCATTCCATACTTTAAACTCCATAGACTTCATTATTTAGCCAACCCTTATGCCACAGAAAAGAGTGCTTCCTGTGTTAAATCACCAGCTCTGAAGATGACGAGGGCAATTCACTGCTTCACTAACCACGGGAAGGCATAAATTGGAGTTAGCCTCTGAACACATAGAGCACACTGCTTATTCTGAAGTATTTTATTCTTTTTTTTTAAGATTTTATTCATTTATTTGAGAGAGCAAGAGAGGGAGAGAGAGAACGAACCTGGGAAAGGCAGGGGGAGAAGCAGACTCCCTGCTGAACAAGGAGCCCAATATGGGACTCGATTCCAGGACCCAGGATCATGACCTGAGCCCAAATTAGATGTTCAACCAACTGAGCCACCCAGGAGCCCCAATTTCTGAAGTACTTTAAAGTAAATTATCACTTTAATAAAATAATTTACCCCAATTCCAACCTACTGCTCTCATGGTTTGTCTCCTTCATTTGGTCACCAGGAAAAGGCATCCTTTTCATCCAGCAACTATATGAAAAGCTCCTGGCGTTTGTCCAAACCAGGGATTGGTACAATCTATTATCCCAAGAAGCCTTTTCTATCCAAACTATCTTACTATAAATAACTCAAATGTGTCCAGTTAAACCCTAATGTATGACAAAGTTTTTTAATAGTCATTGCTTATTAAATAATTGTCTAACCAATAAATTTCTAATCTAAAAGCACTAACCCACTACATAGAAGCTACTCAGAAAATGTCCTTTTCCCAGGAAAGGCTTGGGAGGGTATGCAGGAAATTCAGTTCCTTTATAAACAAAACTCACAGGAAAATTCGGCTCTTCCTAGAATTATGTTTGACTGCTCCCTATAAACAATAGACTTCACTTATCAGAAGAAAAAGCAAGTGATTTCTTAACATTAGTTCTATTTTCAAGTAGCCCTGCCCTTATTTTCCTTTCCAAACTCGCCTATAATAACAAGAAACAGAGTTTCAAAATTTGTCCTAAAACTGACACCAGACTTTACTTTCATAAAAAAGATGGAGATAAACTATAGGCTTAGTCATTAACGGATTGTTAATTACAAACAAGTAAGGAAGGCCACAGGAGAAATAAACACCACTGATGAGCTCTGGCTCAATTTTTCTCAGAATGGAGTTGAATATAGCCCCCAAGTCTATGGACACACTGGTGTCATTTTAGGTTCTGAGCCTATACTCTTGATGGTTTGGGTACAAATTTTAATTCTGGATAGAATGTAAAATTGTCCAGGGACAATAATTCTCTTTTGACCAAACTTTAGTCAGCCTTCTCTGAATTCTCTTCACAAGGAGGGTTTGACTTTGGGGCTTCATGTTTGTCTCTGCATTGTTCCATTTTAGCAAGAATCCTACTAAGTCAAGTTAGCCAGAACCTCTCACTCTTGATACATGTTCATCCTCAATATCTGATTGGGTTATCTTCCACCATCCCCCAGGTGATATCTGATCAAACTGGCCTACCTTTACCAAAAAACATGTAGTCAATTAACCAAAATCCTCCCCAGCCCTGATTCCTCTTAGTAATTTTCTCTCTGCTGACCTCCCCTTTCCTGCCTCTTGGTAGTAAATTCCCACTTTTCCTTACATTTGGAGTTGAGCTCCATCTCTCTTACTACCACAAAATCCCACTGTACTGAACCTATACCTATCATGATGTCCCAATTGAATAAAATCTTTAGGACCATTTTAACAAATACCATGAACAATTTTTTCAAGCACTGTGATTCTGCAAGAGTCTAACTTCTATTAGTTGCCTGTGACATAAAAGAGGCAAAAGTTCTGAACATGCTTGTTTGTTTTGACACAAAATATTTATAATTAAAGGACCCAAGTGGCCTTTTTATTATGATAAAGACTTTTGCCAGAAATTTTATTTTTACATTTTAAACTGTTCAATAGGAAGAAAACAACACTAACAATGTTCTTGAAGCTTTCTTATGCCCCTTTTTCTATCAGAGCTCTCCTCTCCTACTAAATGTTGCCCATTTTCCTGAATTTTATTTTTTTAATTTTTAATTTTGGTAAACTATGCATAACAGAAGATTTCCCATTTTAACCATTTTAAAGTATATAAATCGGTAGTGTTAAGTCATTCACATCATTGTGCAAGGAATCTCCAGGATTCTTCACCTTACAACAATTCCATTTCTCCTACGCCCCAGCTCCTGACAATCATCAAGCCACTTTCCGTCTCTGTGGATTTGACTACCTCCTGTAAGTACCTCTTACAAGAGGAATCATACACTATTTGTCTTTTTGTTACTGGTTTATTTCACTTAAAATAATTTCCTTAAGATTCATTCCTGTTGTAACAGGTGTCAGAATTTCCTTCCTTCTTAAGGTTGAATAACACCATATTGTGGGTGTATACATATCACACTTACTGTAATACATTTACTGTATTACACTCAGTTTGCTTCTACATTTTTATTATTGTGAATAGTGCTACTGGGAGCATAGGTGTACAGATATCTTTTG